ACTGCATTTTAAAGCATTTATTATTTATAAAATATCGTTTAAATTTTTTCTTCCTTAAGACTGCTTTTAAGGTAGTGTGAGAGAATATTAACGTAAATATTCACAGCATGACGGTGTACTTTTCACCCGCATGAGTGCTTCAGCTTTTTCTTCCCGTTTAGGTAGAAAAAGTGAAAGAGAAAACGGGGCCTGGAGGAGGCAGTGGTTGTACCAAGCGCCCGGAGCCGCGTGGCTCTGCACGGTGAGTGGCGGCTTTGCCCTGGGTCCCACTGTCACCAGGTCACTAGTTGCCCTGCTCGGGCTGCAGAGGAGTCAGGCCTGCGGTCCCCTGCTGCCCGTCCTGGGCCTCGTCCTGGGCCTGGGCCTGGGCCGGCGTGCATGGGCCCTGGTCTGCCGGGCGGTGGGCGGGGAGGCTCGGTCCCGTGGGCTCTGCTTCCCTCTTGTGTCTCCTTGCCGAGCCTCGTGGGCGAGCGCCCTGCCCGGCGCAGGGAGCAACCGCTGCCAGCGGGCTGTGGGGCGCGGGACGGGAGGGGCTCCTGAGCCCTGATCACCCCAGCTTCTCCCCCATAATCGCCAGGCCGAGCTGCGGAGGGGTCCAGAAGCTGAGGGAGCCTGGGCCGCGTCTCACTGTCCAGTTCCACGGAGATGGAGATGCCTGAGCTCTCCTGCCGGACACGGAGGGACCCCGAGTGAGCTGTGGTTGTCAGCTGATCTCCCCACACCCCAGTTCCAACTCCAGAATCTCTCTGTGCCTCACAGCAAAGCATGGATCCCCCAGGTCACCCCAAGAAAATGGCGGGGTGCGGCCCAGGCTCGAGGGCTGTGCAGGAAGCAGCGGTGCAGTTGATTTCTCTCGGCGAGTGTGCCGAGGGCAGCCTCAGTTCTTCCACCGCCGCTGCGGTGCCTCTGACGTGGTTAAGTACAGTCGTAAGCCGGCGTGATGGCACACGCCTGTCATCCCAGAGCTTGGAAGGCTGAGGCGGGAGAATCTCGGCAAGGTTGAGGCCAGTCTGGGCTGCATAATGAGAGCAAGTACAGCCGGGTTTGTAGCTCAGCGGCACGAGCGCCGGCCTGGCAAGCGCAGGGTCCTGAGAACGATTCCTGGTCCGAAAAAGACCACTAACACCAAACAAGTGCAGTCACGTCCCACGGACACAGCGTCAGCCACCAGTGTGAGTGCGCTCCTGCCAGTGCTGTGCAGAGCGCCGGTCCCTTGGGCTTGGTGCACCCCGCGGGCCAGCGCGCCCCAGAGCCACTCGGTTCATGGGGGCGGTGGGGCCCATACCGGGCGAGGGCGGGGGCGGGCCCGGCAGGGGACTCAGGGCCGGGGCGGGGAGGGCGCCTCGCCTCCCTTGGCCGTGTTTTTTTTTCCTTCCTTTCTGCCCAGCCCGGAGGAGATGGAACCTGCCGCCCACGTCCCTTGGGGAGAAGCTGGTGAGTAATTCATCGTCTCCAGAAAGTCGCATGGGAGCCTGGCAGGTGGCCGAGCGGCACAGGTGGGACGCTGAGCTTGCAGGGACGGCGCCAAGTGTAGGTCCCTTTCCTCCCGGTCCAGGGGAGGTCACGCCGTGTGGTCCTCCCCAGTAACTAGCTCCCGTGGGCGAGGGGCCTGCATGGGGTCGAGCCAGGAGCTGGATTACAGAGCGCTGCTTCCCCCTCCCTGACACACAGAAAGCACGGAACGGTTCTGGTGGCATATGCCTGTCATCCCAACCTGTAGGAGGCTGAGGCAGGAGGATTGCTGCGAGTTTGAGGCTAGCCTGGTCTCCCTTGTGAGTTTAGAGCCATCCTGGAGTACGTAGTGAGACCCTGCCTCACAAAAACAATGCAGAAACATGGATGAATTGTGTGTTTCCTCATCTTAGAGTGTTCACCTTTCCTGTTTCAGCCTCCCGCTCGCTGAGGGCCCTCGCAGTCCTGCCGGCTGCCCTGGCTCAGTTATCACAGTGCTGATGCTGTCCGCTCTAAAGGTACAGTACTGTGATAACTGAAGGATGGCAGCCACCTCGCGGCCGCGCGCCGGACCCCCAGCAGAGGCGGAAGAAGATCTACACGGGTGGGGGTGGGGGGGACCGCACCCCGAACCCTGCGAGCCCTCCTGCCTGGACAGAGGGTGGTTCCAGCTCTGGGCCTTGGTTTACTTACTGGTTTTGTCAGGCAGGGGCTTGCCGTGCAGTACAAGCTAGGCTGGAATTCGCAGTGGAGCCCAGGCCGGCCTCGAAGCTGAGGTGATCCTCCTGCCTCGACCTCACCAGCGCTGGGGGTACCCGTGCACTCTGTCGTGTTCTGTGACGTGGGTGTGAGACTCGGTGATACGTTGGCAGCGTGAAGACGATGGTGCCAGGCCAGCACGGAAGGGTCAGGAAGCCGCGAGTCTTCAGGGGTCAGTGCTGGGGACCAGGTGTGCATCAGCGGCTGGCCATGGTGGGCACACCTGCAGTCCCAGCACCAGGGAGGCTGAGGCAGGAGGGTCTCTGTGAGTGCAAGGCCAGCGTGGGCTAAAAGGCGAGGCCGTGTTGCAGGTGAGTGAGGGCTCCAGGGTCTGCTGTCCCCGAAGTGTGACGGCGAGCTGTCAGCACACCTGCACGTGTCACCCCACTTCTCACCCTGCGCAGGGCAGGCGGGTGGAGGAGAGCCCTCTGGTGACCAGTGCCGATGGTGCTGCAGGAGTAAATTCATCTCCGCACGTGAGGGTCAGACACCGACTGTCTCGTCTCTCCTGAGAGGTTTACAGCCCAGTCTGGTTCCAGAGTTGTTTATCATTGTTGCAGCTATTGTCACCTTTTGTATGAAAATAAAGTGTAAAGTTGTTTGTCACATAAAGAAGTACCACCCTGGGAGCCAGGGATGGTGGCGTGCACCTGTCATCCCAGCGTTTGGGAGGCTGAGGCAGGAGCATTTCCATGAGTTCCAGGCCAACCTGGACTACGCAGTGAAAACCTGTCTCAAAACAACAAAAAACCAAAACCCACACACACTGGATCTCCCAACAGCCGTGGCCTTGGCACTGTCCTTGGAGCCTGTGCAGGGCCGCAGGGCATGGGCTTACGTGGGGTGGTGAGGGCAGAGACGGACCTTGTTTCCTGGCAGCGCCGCCTCTGGATCGTGCCCAGAAGAAGTAAATGCGGCTACAGAGGTTCGCACGCTTGTGCCTGCATCTGGCTTGTGGCAGCGGAGGCACGCGCGCTCGAGCCCGGACGGTGAGCAGGGTGAGGCACCTGTGTGGACCGCGGGGCGTTGCTCAGCTGTAAAAAGGCAGGGAGTTCCTCCATGTGGCGTGGGGAGCCCTGTAGGTATCGTGTCAGTAGAGAACCCGGATACGACAGGAGGAGCGTGTGTCCCGCGTGGTCCTCCAGGTCCTTGGGCAGCAGTGGGCCCCGGGGAGTTAGGGTCATGTGGACCCAGACTTTGGTTGGGGAACGTGAATAAATCCCCAGGTGGGCGGTGACGTCACCCAGCAGTGTAGGAGAAGTCAGCACCACAGACCCAGACTCCTGAAGAGGCAGAGTTTGTGCCTGTCTCACCACAATTTAACACGCACGCCTGTAATCCCAGCACTCGGGAGGCTGAGGCAGGGGGATTGTGAGTTGGAGGCCAGCGTGGGCTACAAAGGCCAGCTGTTCAACTGCATAGCGGACCCTTTCTCAAAAAACCCTGTGTGCAAATATCCCTGCTGCTTGTACATCCCTGCCCCCCCGCCGTCAGTCTCCAGGGTGAGGTGAGGTGGGCAGCTTGGGCAGCTGCTTTCCAGAGCAAGGACAAGGCTGTGACGCTGCAGTCATCGCCCTGCCTGGGCGGCGCCTCTGGTCAGACCCAGCTCAGCTGTGGGGCTCGCACGCTGCGGAGCTCAGTGTCAAACGCAAACAAGGTCCGAGCAGAGTCCAGGAGCAGCAGGAAAAGCCTGCCCTTTGAGGTGACACCAGGCGACCCCTGGCCACCACCTGGAGCTAAGGGAGAGTGCAGCTTCATGGACAGACGGATCCCTCTGTCCATCTGATCAAACAGTAACCAGAGACAGATGTCCTCCGGAGTAGGCATGCACCCTCTGAGGTGGAGCAGCAGCGGTACCTTTTGGATTTTTGAGGTGGTCTCTCTCATCCAGGTTGGCCTCAAACTCACAGGGCTCTCTCGTCTCGGCCTTGGAGCGCGAGGTCGCAGGCTTTGCTGTACCTCGTGTCTCAGCCAGCGTAACTGAGACTGCTGTCCTCAAAGGGCCGCTGTCTTTGGGCTCTTGCTGTTGGAGGTGGCAAGCTTGGGATGTTTCTGCGCTTCAGGTAGCCGATTTTTTTCCTCTAAAAGTTCCTTAAAATTGTCCTGCGGTGCACGGTGGTGCACGCCTATAATCTCAGCGCAGAGGCAGAGGCAGGAGGACCGCCACAAGTTTAAGGCCAGACTGGACTGCACAGTGAGACTCTGTCTCAAAAAAAAAAAAAAAAATGTGTCGAGATTCTCAAAGTTGCAACCCAGTAATTCTTATATTCACTTGCATTCAAATACTTTTAGAAAAAAAAAAAAAAAAAAAAAACCACTCTGAATACTCCCCACTCCCCATGGCCCAGCTGCAGCTTCCCAGGTGTCATTTGGGTGGCACTGGCTCCTTGATCCTCAGGGAAGTTGGAGCCCGGTGCTGACCCTTCCAGGGGAAAGGGACACCAGTGGAGGCCACCGCTCATCTGACGAGGGCGGAGCTGCTGGCTGCTAAGGAGGTCCCCAGCTCTGGGCCATGTGCTGAGAGGAGGGATGAGGGTCTTGGCCCTTGAACAGAGTGGCCTCGAGGGAATCCAGCCTCCAGAGAGGCTCGGGGGCTGGGGGCTGATGGTTTTGTCTTAGTTGCTGAGACAAAATACCAGGTACAAAAGTTAAAGGAGGAAAGGTTTGTTTAGCTCACACTTGGCAGAGGACTCGGTCCATAGCGCACTGGCCCAAGGCAGGGCAGCATGGCAGAGGAGACACAGGTTGTGGAGGCTGAAGACGGGAAAAGAAGCAAGGAGTGAGCCTCTCTGTCCCGGGTACAGCACACAGGGTGCCTGCCCCAGTCGGGCGTAGCACTCACACCCCCAGCCCTAGCGCTAGACAGTGAACCATCACAAGCTCCAGATTCAGCTGCCTCCGACCTCCCCCCCCCCTACCGCCCTGCATGGCTACATGAGGCTTGGGTGGACTTCCAGAGACAAACTGTAACGCTTGTTTTTGTAATGCTGCAGATTGAACCCAGGGTTTTCACACTGAGTTCCATCCCCAGCACTTTTTAATGTTATTTCTGGTTCTTTGAGACAAGGTCTCACTGTGTAGCCCAGGCTGGCCTCGAACTCACTGAGATCCTCCTGCCTCAGTCTCCTGAGCACTAAGATCAAAAGTGTTCACCACCCGGCAGACCTGTTGTCAGGGCCGCAAGGAGAGAACCCCACACCCTCTGGTAGACTGGCAGGCCCTGGGCAGAGTCACCAACAATGCTTCCCCGAGCGTACCAGGAACCTGGGATCCTGGGTCGGAGGACCAGCAGTGGGTCTCGGCGGGGCTGAGCTCAGTGGCCACAGGTACCAAGGAAGGGAGCAGCCTGGGACCCAGCTGGGGTGCCGGAGAGCCCAGAAACGCCCCCTGGCCCCGGGGACCCAACCCAGCACTTCTTGGACCCACGCTGCAGCATCCTAGCGGGGCGGCACTCGGTCCCATGGGTGGTCTCAGCGGGGCACAGGGCGGTGGGGGCAGAGGGAGCGGTCGCTGCAAATCAGCTGTCACTCAGCCGGGATGCCTGCGTGCAGTGTGTTCCTTCAGAGGGAAAGCTGTCCCATCCCCTGCAGCCAGCTGCGCTGTTCCGTGTCCCTACCCGGGTCCGCACGCAGGTCCCCTCCCTGCTGCCTCTAAGGGACACGTGTCCTGCCCCCTCGGTTACTGCTGCTGGCTCTGTCCCCGCCCCAGCAGCAGACGGCACCTGCAGAGACCACAGGAAAATCTGCTGTCCCCACTGCTGTGAGCCCAGGACTGCCGCCTGTCACTGTCGCCTTAGTGACAAGGGCTCCACCTCGGGTGCAGCTGCCCAGTCCTCCCAGGTCCATGCTACGGAGAAGTCACATCGCAAGTGAAGGGTGGGAAGCTGGGGCAGCTCTGGCTGTCAGGGGTGGAAACTTGGAGGTCATTTAATGTGGTGCACGCCTGTCATCCCAGCACTCGGAGGCTGAGGCAGGAGATGGCTGAGAGTTTGAGACCAGCCTGGGCTACATAGTGACCCTGTCTCAAACAAACTAATGTGTCTTGACCACCATTTGAAAAAATAAAATCGGGGAATGTGGGGTGCATTGTGGGTGGTAAGGATAAGATTCCCTCGTGAGGTACACAAGGCAATCAAAACACACCGGGAAGAGTTAGGGTTGTGGTTTAAAATGTACCACAGTAGAAGGCACACTGCCACGAATCCACTTCAAAATCCTACCGCTCTCCCAGCACTAGGGAGGCTGAGACAGGAGGATTGCTGCGAGTTCCACACCGGTCTGGATTACAAAAACCCTGTCATTAAAAAAAAAACAAAATTTTTTTTCAAGCAGTGGCAAAGTTTATTTTAAAAAGTAAAAGTGAAGAGAGAGAGAGAAATGTGCAGAGCAAGCCTGGGCCAAGTAAGAGAGGAAAAAGCGGGGTAAAGGAGCGCCCAAGAAAGCAGGGTGGGTGGTGGCAGGGAAGCCATGGCAAACAATATGAAACGTTTTCAGAAATCTCACTTTGAGTGGCCGACCCCACGGTCTCGATGCTGTGTGAAGCCGCTCTGGGGCCCGCTCTCCGAGCTTGAGACCCTCAGGAAAGGGCGCTCCAGAGCTGCGGCAGGAAGCGGCAGAGCCGTGGGCGAGCATGCTGAGGGATTTGGGAAGCTGCATCTTGGTAGTGAGTTCTAAAGATGTAAACACTCCCGTGTTTTGTGCTCGCAGCTCGTAGTTGTCTGCTGATGCGTACGTCTGAGAATCTCTGGACTGGACGCCAGATGTGTTTCTGCATCGCTGCCTAAGTGAGCACAGCACAGATGTGCTTTTGGCCCTGCGTGTCCGTTCACCTCTCTGCTTCCTGAGCTGGATGACAAACCGCAGCTCACGGAGCTGGGCCAGGCCGATTCAGACACCTGTCCACGGCCGTCGGGTGGGGTGGGACTCGTGCCTGGGCCTCCGTCCCCCGGGGGCTTCTCCCTGGGCACTGGCCTGCACAACAGCAGTAGCCGTGGCCGGGGGTGAGTGAGTGAGTACTGTGCACCAAGCACGGCGTGTTGCTGGCAGGGAGGGGTACCGTGGCTGGTGTCTTGCTCCTTTTGGGTGGATCTTCAGAGCCAGGTGACGGCTGAGGCCAGTGCTTCATGTACCACCCTCTGCCTTGAGCCCGGAAGTTTCAATTTAATTCTTAAAAACTGTTGCAGCAACCTGACAGGGTAATTTTATGTCTGTGGAATGTAGTAATAGAAACATTGGCTTAAATGTTTCTCTTAAAAGTGTCCCGAAATTTTTATTGTATTTTTGTAAAAATACCAGCCCGAGATGGATTAAAAACAAGAACACACTGATCCTCCACCACAGGTCATGTGAGACGCCTTGGCGGAGGCCAACAAAGCCAACGCCCGTGTCCCTTGAGGCCCTTGAATGCTTTTCCAGTGCTAGGGGTCACAGCTGTCCCTGGAAGGGGCAGGTTGCTGGATGTGGCCCCCAGCGGCAGGGAAGGGGTTACTGCGTCCTCTGCGGTACTTGGAGAGCCTCCCAGCCTGGCCATAGCTCCCCTGGTCTTGGGGCAGGCTGGGGGACAAGCTGCTGGCAGCGGTGAGCACCCCAAAGCCGTTGTTTACTCTGTTTGTTTGTTTTTTTTTGGTTTTTCTCCGGTACCGGGAACCGAACTCACGACCTTGCGCTTGCCAGGAAGGCGCTTTTGCCGCTGAGCTAAATCCCCAGCCCCCCGTTGTTTACTCTGGAACTTGCGAGCGTGGGTGTGGTGGGTGAAGTGTGGTTCCCCTCGGGATCACGGGGGTCTTTCCTGGGGCTGCTGCCCCTGTGAGACAGAGTCCAGTGGCAAGCAGATGAGATCCCCGTCCCCAGCTCCCCAGTCTGCAGGGCCAGGGGCACAGGGAGGAGAGAGGGGCCCTGGCCAGGTGGGCTGGCGAGCGCAGGGGCCTGGGGTGACCCCTGGCTCTGATGGGAGGCCCCCTCGGGACTCCCCCCTACACTGCTCTGGCAGGGTGCTCCGAGCTGGAATTCCCAGGGCCACGTGCCAGCGGAGCGTCTCAGGAGTCGAGTGTTTCCTCACGTCCTGCTTTGTCCTCCCAACAAGCGGCTTGTCCGGCTCCTCGCAACACGTGACTGTGGAATGCACCCTCTGGAGAAATACGCCTGTGGTTTTCACCCTGAGCACAGTGGAAATGTTTGAGAATTGCACAGATGATGCTAGTAATAAAAGCTGACCGTGTGTGCTGTGTGCCTGCTTCACGTCGCTCCGTAGTCATAGATGCCGCTTTGTTCTGCTTTTGTGGTGCTGGGTCATACCCACGGCCTCACGCGTGCTTGCCGGGTGCTCTGCCAATGAGCTACATCCCCATCCCTACGTAGTCATTTACTTTTTCTTCTTCAAGAGATAAGGTCCTCCTGTGTTGCCCAGACTGACTGCAAAGTCCTGGGCTCTCGTGACCCTCCTGCCTGGGCCTCCTGAGGACTCTGGCTACGTGTGTGTCCCGGCGCCCAGCCGTACCTTATTACTAAACAAGCTGTCCCATCAACACCGGTCAAGTGAGGGGGAAACTAACCTGAAAACGAGGTCACTGGGCTTGCGGCAGCTCAGGCCCAGCCCAGGCGCCCGTGTGTATTTATTTAGGAGATGGTGGTGCTAGGGATGAAACCCAAGGCCACTGCACTGAACTACATCTCCAAACCTTGTTGTTTTTTATTTTGAGACGGGGCATAGCCAAGTTGCCCAGCCTGACCTTGAACTCTCTGCCGTCCTCCTGCCTCAGCCTCCCGAATGCTGGGGTGAGCGGGGTGCACTACCACGCCCAGCAGAATCACCCTGTTCTACACAGGGAAACTGAAAAGCAGACTGAGTCTTGCTGAGAGCCTCGTGGTCCACACGGTCTGGGGCAGACGACACGGAGTCGAGGGACTGGCTGTGCTCTGAGGCCCCGTGCCCCACGCTTCCGCCACACAGGTGCCGCAGGTGTCCCCGGTCTCGGCTCTGCTGACAGCCGGCGGTGTGCAGCACCCCTCACACATACACAGGTGCCTAGGTCTCTTCCCTTGCTTCACGCTCGCCCATTTGAAAAACCCCAACTTCCTTTCTTCCTCTAGGGTGGATGGGGAGCTGCAAAGTTGCCCTGGAAGCCGAGCTGCTCTGCAGGCGAGATGAGCACCGAACACCTGGCCTGCAGCTTGCCCCGCCCTGTCCCATCTCCCCCTACTCAGTGGAGCCCCATTGCGGCCCTGTTTGTACTCCCCAGAGGCCACCAGCCATTTTGTTTCTAAAATGTTGTCATTTCAGCTGTGTGGTGATATAGTTCCAACTACTCAGAAGGCTGAGGCAGAAGAGTCTCTTGAACCCAAGAGTTCAGGCCCAATCTGGGCAGCATAGTGAGACCCAGTCTCTCTCTCTCACTCAACCAATCTCCCCACTCTGTTTTTTCTTTTTGAGACAGGGTCTGGCTACATAGTCCAGGATGGCATTGAATTCACTATGTAACCCAAGCTGGCCTTGAACTCAAGGTTGATCCTCCTGCCTCAGCCTCCCAAGTGCTCAAGTTACAGGGGTACACCACCACACCCAGTGAGACCCACTGTCTTAAAAAGAATAGTGACATAGACCGGGCGTGGTGCACATGCCTATAATCCCAGCACTCGAGAGGCAGGAGGATCATTGCGAGTTTGAGACCAGCCTGGGTTACAAAGTGCTCTGAAGGCCAACCTGAACTACATAGCAAGACTGTCTCAGAACACCAAAACTTGAAAAAGTACCAAAGTTTTGCATTTCAAAATAGCATCATATGGCCTGTAACATGTTGGAGTTCACTTTTGTTCACACTGCATGATTCTCTGGAGAGTTATCCAAGCTGTGGTGCAGGTTTTTGTTGTTCTTTATTATCTAAAGCCCATACATTAAAAAATAATTTTGCTTGGTTGCAGTTTTACATCATCTTTACGTTTATTTTATTAACTGCAGTCTAAGCCCAGGCCTGTACAGGGTAACAGTGCCACGCTGTACAGGAGGTCCTCCGGCTGTTTACTACCTTGCAGGCCGCTTCTCACTTTGGGCGCAGTAACAGGAGCTCTCCTTCCGCCCTACCCCTGGCGGGCGCTGCGTCGGTCCCTCTCCACCCCTGGGGCCGCGCCGACACTCACAACCTGAAGGGGCGAGGGTTATTGGCTCACAGGTGCAGTGGGTTCAGTCCCCGAGCAGCGGCTCCCAGGCGGGACTAGCGTGGAGGAGGGGCCTGGGGGAGGAGAGCTGCCCACAGCATGGCAGCCGCAGCACAAGGACACACCCTCGGGCTCACCCCAGTGACTGCCCCCAGCCGGCCCTGTCTCCTACAGTGGTCACCCAGGGATGGGTCCTCGGTGCATCCCCTTCCAAACACACGAGCCCTTAGGGGCCACGTCAGGTCTAATCCCTAACAGTCATAGCTCACAGGAGCAAGGCGGTGTCTTCGTTAGCCTCAGCCCAACTCCACGCCCCATTATACGTGGGGCTGGCATGAGCAGCAGCTCCTGGGCCTTTTCCTGGGGAACTGCACCCCTTCTCCCGCCTGGAGAGCCGGCTGGATGCGGAGAGCTGGGCCCCGCCAAGGCCTGACAGCTGCGCCCTTTCTCACAGCGTGGAGGGGAAGCTCTGCCCCACCGGCCCTGCAGCCAGCCCGTCCAGCCACCTGTGTGTCCCGGGGCAGTGACCCGCCCAGTGGTACGGCCGAGGCCACCTGGCGGGCGTGGCTGAGAGCAGGGTCCCAGTGACCCCAGTGCTCTTGCAACCCAGGAGAGCAGTGACCGCAGCGAGCACAGCGGAACTCAGGACCGTCCTGAGGTTCTGGGCGAGGACGTGGGGCGGGGAGGGGGTGGGGCTTCCCGGGCCCCACCCAAGACCCAGTGGCCAGAAGCCTCGGCCCACCCCGAAGCCCTGCGTAAAGCTCCAGTTACTTCACAGAGTCGCCCGATGTAGCATGAATCCTGTCCCTGCTAAGTACCTTCGTGTGTACGCGCGTGTGCATCTGTGCATGTGTGTGCACACCTGTGCACATGCGTGTGTGCACATTTGCTTGTGCGGGGAGACAGGAGGGTTCGGCACAGGGCTGAGACACGACCCCAGCTCTGGGGACCTTTCTGTAACCAGAGTCCGCCGATGGCCTCTGGCTCTGTCACCATGAGCGTGCACATGGCTGCGGGCCAGAGCCACACCTGACTGGAGGCCCGGCACACGCAGGGTCAGCCTGGGAGGAGTCCGTGGTTTGCGGGGAGGAGGAGAACTCGAGCAGGCAGCTCTGGCTCCACCCCGGAGGCCGCACCCACTCGTGGCCCTCACCCTCTTGGTGGAGCTGCGTGCCTGGGTCCAGCTCCTCGCCGGGCCCCAGAGGCTGCTGCTTCTCAGCGCCAGGGCCACCTCAGCCCAGCGACAGGCCGAGGTCCCAGCCAGGCACGGACTTGGGGGCTGGGTGCGCAGCCCGGGCAAGGGGCCGCTGAGGCCGCAGAGCAGCCTCTCGTCCCGGATGGCGCTGGGAGCAGCAGGGTGGCTGCACACGTCCCTGTGCCCCGCCCGCCCACGTGCGCCCCTGGGACCCCTGTGTCCCCTGCGGGCTGCAACTTCACTGCCGGCTGCCTTGGAGGCCAGCGCCCTCTGGGTGGGGACTGTCCCACTTCCTGGCATCTTCCCGGGCCTCAGCCCTGGCAAAGCGCCCAGTTCATCCTCCGTGCTCCTGGGGAGGTTTCTCGCCTGCGCGAAGAACCAGAGAACACCCACGGGGGTGGGCAGGAACACGCTGGTGTCCAAGTCACGCATGTGGGCCTCAGGGCCCTGCGTGAGGGGAGGCCTCGGGACAAAACGGGCCTCAGGCGTGTCCTGGTTCCTGTCCTGACGCGTGTCACCTGGCAGGAAGGAAGCGCAGCGACAGATGAACGCAGGTGCCCGACTGCCCGCCCTCAGTGGGTGACTCCGGGATCTGGGACCGGGTGGGAGGCAGAGAAGGATCAGCAGGACACAGCGGAGGCCGGGGGCACCACCCCCTGGAAGCAGGTGGCCACTGCCAGAAGGGATCCAGCCCAGGACGAAGGAGCACAGCTGGGCCAGCCCTGGCTCCAGTGCGCCGAGCCGCGCAGCTGACTGGCGTGGTGTGACGCCGGGGGGAGGAGGCCAGAGTGGGCATCGCCCCATAGAGCAGGCACCTCGGACCAGCCGACCGCAGGGAGGCGCTGAACGCTGTCACAGGCCTAAACAAAAGATGCAGGGCACACCCACAAGAGGGCCACTGCCCAGCCACAGCAGGGACCTCAGCAAGGAGGCTGCTCCAGCAGTTCCGGGCCAACCTGGGGCCCACACCACCATGGTGGGCCTTGTAGCCGAGGATGACACCACAGAACAACAGTGCAGCCCAAAGATCTCTCTGCCTCAGCCTCTCTGGATACTGCACACTGACTCCGGCATGGCCTTCTTGAGGGCACTACTCACCATTGGAGTTGCTCTGCTATTTAGGTCTTTTTGTTGCTTTGGTGATGTGTTGTGTTGTGTTGTGTTTTTTGAGAGAATCTTGCTATGCAGCCCAGGCTGGCCTTGAACTGGAGAGGACCCTCCTGCCTCAGCCTCCCAAGTGCTGGGGTTATAGATGTGTACCACTACATCTGGTTTTTGTTTTTTGAGACATGATCTCAGTATGTAGTCCAGGCTGGCCTTGAACTCTAGGGGATCCTCCTGCCTCAGCCTCACACTTCACTTTAAAAATGAATGGAATATCATGTTTTGAGTATCTACTGCCTTCTCAATTTTATTGAGGGAAAGAGGTAACCACTGAATTTATATGATCTTAGGTATGAAAAATTCTGCCCCCAAAATATCTTTCCCCACCAATCTAAGAACTCACATTCCCCCTTGGTTTCCTTCCCTGCTTTTCTTTGTTTTTATTCTGAAACAGGATCTCACTGTGTATTCCAGTCTGGCCTTGACTCATTGTGTGTCTCAGGCTGGCCTCAAACTCGAGATCCTCCTGCCTCAGCCTTAGGCCTCCCTCATGGTGGGATTATGAGTACCTGGCATAGTTTCTCCTTTGATGTACAGTAATGAAGGCTCTAAGCAGGGTGCAGAATTAATTCCCCAGGGAACCGCTCTCCGCAGCACTAAGGGAAGCCGCCTCTCCCTCCTCCCAGCAAGGCCCCTCCCACCTGCCGCTGACTCTGCCTGGCTATCCTGAATCGCCCGGAATCATCACTTCCAGCCCCCAGGCTGCCTCCAG